TAGCACAAACACCGGCAAATCTTTCAATCAGACTGTTAATGAACTTATCTTTTCCAAATAGCACACTATTTTTTTACTGGACCATGTATGATGCTTTTCATGGAGCTCACTTTATCAAACAATACTCCAACTCTTGCTTGTCCAAACAAAATTTCAAAGAAATTAGCATATAATAATGATCAAGATTACCTTCAGAGGCTGCACGAATTCTGTGATTTAGCATATAATAATGGCAGATTCTCTGTAGCCGATCGAAATCCAGAATGATAACCTCAGCAACAAAATCACCTAGCAGCTAGCTCATATCAAATTTAACTGAATTTCTTGATCTGTTAAACAAACCCAACATGAATATAATTTCTGTTCTTTTCTTGTTTGCAATTTAAAATATGAACAGTTTCCCTATTCAAATTAGTCACACAAAGGTTGAAATTATATTTTACAGGTTGGGGTTGTTTCAGAGGAGAATTTGCTTGATCTTCTAGAGATAGCCATGTCATCAGACACTGCTGAAACAGTCAAAAGGTCAAGAGAACTGATGGATTCTGGGGTTGATCCGATGGCATTAATGTCTCAATTAGCTGGGCTCATAATGGACATCATTGCTGGGACCTATAGATTAGCTGACCCTACGTGCGGTGAAGGAATTGGTGGTCGAAATAGTAAGTATTTCAACTGATGGGTGCAATTCTTTCAAGCCATATTTATTGAATTATTATCATTTATGCTTCATTTGTTATGCAGCAAGAATCATTCAGTGTCATATTGAGTAGATCAAACCACTCTGTTCTCTTATCTTTTATTCTGGGAGTGTGCATTGCTCCTTTTGGAATTTGACGTCCTTTATTTTGGGAAAATGTCAATTTTCGTCCCTCGAATCTGTCCAGTTTGATAGTTGAATGCGTGATTTTTCTGGTTTTAAAGAGAGAAAGAGAGAGCTGGGGAGAGGGGGGATTTGAGTATGGTCTTTATCTATTATTATTTTTAGACTAAAAGGGGGTCTTTTTTCCTTGTTCTGAAAGACATCGCATCATATTGACGATCTAATAATTTTGTTTATTTTTGAAAGTGCAATGGTCTTTTTTTTGCAGGGTGAAATTTCACTAGTCCTATTATGGATAATAGTTAATGACATTCTCAAACAAAGTCTACTGATACAGTGATACTTTTGTGTTATACTGCATGCATCAGTAGTCATGCTCAACTGATCTAGTGATGTTTTGAAGTTTTAACATGTATACAGATATATCAAATGAAGTAAGCTAGGGAAGTACTTAATTTCTTGCTTATGAGATGACGAATTTCACTCTAGTTATGAAGGAAAACATATATTGATCTACCTGAATCATATTTGACGGGTATCATGTTCTCTTATTTATAATCTAACATCCATTTTTCTCCTGCGCCTGACTTTCACCAGTAATGACTTTAAAATGTGTAGTCCCTTATCAAATGTTATTTAACATTAAGTATATGACAAGACTAGGTTTGAAAACAATAGACTAATAAGTGTCTCACTCAGTGAGCTGTATTTCTTCTGAATAACTTGAGAAACGTAAAATTGATGTGGTTTTCCCATGACGTACTACTACAGAAATAAATTGGTCATGTACTGTATTTTTTTCAGGAAAGTTGAGTATTTCAGTTGTGTGTGCCATTATTATTAATTGCTGCTATCATACAAATACCAATCAAAGTGTTAAATTACCCATGTGCAAAATACCTTGGTGCTGAAAAACATATACAAATTTATATCAACCACTTGCCTACAAGGCTTATGTTAAAAAATAAAGAAATGTATATGATATAGTGCACTACCTCCTATCATTATTTATTTTGTTGCTTATCTAATGTTTTAAGCACATTTTTTCCTTCTGTAGTAACTGATGCCGAGTTAGAAAGATTACAACAAGCATTGAAGATTCTTTCTGATGCTGAAAAGCAGATAAGACTTTCCAGTGAGCGTTCAACATGGTTCACTGCTGCTCTGCTCCAGCTTGGTTCTGGACATGATTCAGAAATAACCCATTCAAGAAGCAGCAGTAAACAAAGTGCTAAAGCAGCCAGTGAGACAATGTTGGAAGCAGTAAGAGAATCCTCTGCAAGCAGGAGTGTGTCTCATCCTCTATTTACTATTCGCGGTTCAAGGAAAACATTGGACCACAGAACAGCCAGTGGGCACTCCAGTCCTCATGATCTTGCTTCACTATCTTCCCGGATGAGGCCCAGTGACAACTTAAGTTATGGAGAATGTAGATCTGTTGATAGAGTTCTACTGGATTCTGCTCAAGCAAGTAATTCTACTGAGCAAAAGCCTATAATTAATGGAAGCTCAGACCTTGTCCAAATTTGGCGAAAATGCATAGATAATTGTCACTCAAAGACGTTGCAGCAGCTACTCTCTGATCATGGGAAACTAACATCCATCAAAGAATTTGAAGGTGTGTTTTCTTTCTTGTGTTTGCATCATTATGCATTTTTGGTCCTTCACCATCCATGCTCTTTTTAGGGTTGGTCCAAATCAGGCCTACTGTAGTGGTCCTGTAACTTATCAGATTCAGCACATTTTTGATACTAAATTTGGACTAAACCTGTAATTTGAGCATTTCAAAGGATTTAGAAATTTAGGTTCAATAATGAACTTCCATGAAAGTTGATGGACGAAAAAGGGAGATTTCTTTTTCTTTATTCTATGTATTCGTAGTGTTTGACTAACGTAAAATAAAGCTGTTCACATACCCTATTTGATGAACTTCCATTGCAGGCTATTTAGTTGCTTTCATATCATTTGAGGACAGCAAAATAATGTCTCGTGCCCAAAGATTTGTGAGTAGCATCAGAAATTCGATGGAGACAGCACTGAGATGCAACGTGGAAGTCAGAGTTGGTTTAATGTCTGAATTTCTTGCTGGACGACTCAAGCTTGAGGTGGACCTGGAAGAAAGAGCTGAGCCTGATGTCTTGAGTTGCTCAACAAACAGTGACCGATTAAAGGGAATTCTGAACGCCCCAAGAAGCTTAGGTTATTCTGAAGAGATCGAAAAAAACCCGGAGAAATACGGCAATACTTCAGCTGCTGGTGGAGGGGTGCAGTCAGACGTCACTGAAGGAAATGCAGGAATGCATAGGGCTAGAGGGCAAGGAGTCCCCGCTGATCGGTCAAAAGCAGTAACTGTTGAGGAGCAAAGGTTAGAGAGTGCATGGCTCCAAGCTGTTGAAAAACACACACCCGGGGCGAGACCTGAGAAATATCAAGTTGTGCCACAAACTGGTGGTGGTCAGTACCACAAGAAGTCCTCACTGGCCACTGTTGTGCCCTCAAGGAATATTGACAAGGATTTGAGTAATGGATTGAAAGCTTTAAAGATCAGTGAGAGTCATGGTTCCCAGAAGGGTCAGAATGTAGGAATGGAGAATGGATTTGTGATTTCACCAAGCCTCTTGCACAGTAATAATGAATTGGCAAATTGCGACAATGAGAGTGTGTAAGTAAAAACTAACTTATTTATGTGTTCTCTACATGAATCTAGCATTTGTCTTGTCTTTAGAACAGTAAGATTATTACTAGAAAGAAGAAACAACTGCAATTAACCTTTATACAAGACAATACAACTTTATAAAGTTTAGTTTGCAAATGAAGTTCTTTTTTCTTCTGTTGGTCCCAACAGCTGATGCAACTCAAGAAATTGACACTGAAGGCTGTTAAAGATATTTGAGCTCGACTCGTTATAGGCTCGTCTTGAGACCTAAACAGGTCGAACTCAAGCCTAGCTGCAGGCTCACGTGCTTGCCAAGCTCGAACTTAAATAGTTCAGTAAGGCTCGGTAGATGGTGTACTCTGCAGTGCACCATCACTTTCCTTCAAAATATCATAGGATCTTCGCCTGCTCAGCAGTTCTAGCACACCTGTTCTCCCTACCTAATAAAACATGTGGAAGCACATATGAAGTTTTTTCATGCGCCATGGAAGTTCAGGCCCAAACGACCATGCAACTCATTCGGCCTTTTCTATCTGCGCGGTAGCACAAGCATTCATGAGCCCATCTTTATTGCTCATGCATCATATCATTCAGCCTCACGAGCATCTACTAAATGTAATTTGCTTGACGAGCCTAGCCCGAGCTTACTTCTAAGCTCAAGGTGTAAATTGACCTCAGGCCGAGCTGGGATGTATTCACTCGAGCTTGGCTCGTTTAGAGCCCTACACTGAAGCGTTCTATTCGACCCCCAGTTTGGACAAAGTACTGTGTTTTGTTAAATTAATTTTGGTAGTATCCACAACTTAGCTTACGTCTAGTAGATGCTCCTTTTCGAATTATGATGCATATTGTTAGCACTTTGTGTGATTGACCTACATGTAACTTGCAGGGTCTCCGAGTCTGGAGCACCAGGTTGTCATGGCCTCTTCCCCTGCTGGAAAACTGAAAAATCAAAAAGAAGAAAGGTGCATTGATCGTAATCCCTATGTGGATATTTCTTTTGGTCGTCTCACCTCACAACTTCATCCGATTTGGCGATTTCTCTTTGCATTTCAGGCAAAACGGCAGACTCGTTTGAAGCCATCTTAATCTGGGAAGTTATAAAATGACCACTGTCATTCGAGCTGCGGAAAACAGTTGCTAATACCAAGAGAACGCAAGGAACCAGTTGTCATATTAGGTCGCGGCTGTGACCTCGCCTGATGCTCTCTGCTGATGTAAGATGGCTGCATTTTCGTCACAACGACTTGGTAGAGCTCAAAGTAGAAGAACTGTGGACGGGAATGCAAATTTCAGAAAACTGAAGGGTAGTTGATTGTTTACACCCTTCTTGTCGATGCACCCTTCTTGTATTGTTTACAGAACATTTTGATTTGCCCAGTGTTGCTCGCAAGCATAGGATAGTCGATTGAAGAAGCTCAGTCTAGGTTTCTAGTGCATTGTTTCTTGATGATAGTTGCTTTTAATTCAATGTATTTGACTGCATTTCAGTACACACCCCTTTAGTTATTGTCGCAACTTTCTGTTAATAAGAAAGAACCAAGAGAATACAAAGTGCTTTGTTCTAACAATTTGTGATGATGTACAAGGCAGTGTATGCATCATGTATGTACACTTCAAAGCTACTACTGATTCCCAGCAAAAAGAGAGAACAAAAACTACTAGTCACCGGCTACGGGTAAGGGTCTGTCCAGGAGGCGTCGTCCGCCGCGGCCTCCTTCCATCTCCTGTTGAATATCTGCATCTCGGCGAACGATCGCCGCCTCACGGCGACCCGGAACGCGGCGGCCTTGCCCTCGGTGCCGCCGAGGGTGGGGACTCCCCTGTGGAGGACGTACTCGCTGTCGACGACGCCGACCTTGAGCGTCCTGTCGCCCTGCGCGCAGTGGCCGAGCTTGTAGTCGAGGCCCCAGGCGTGTACCAGGTCGTTCTGCACCATGCCCCAGCTGCAGCGCCACGCCGCGCGGGAGAACACCGGGACCATGATCTCCACCCACCCGGCGCACGGCGGCCCCGTGCTGCTGTCGTCGCACCCTCCACCTCCCCAGCCGGCCGCCGGCTTGTAGAACCGCCTGTGCACGTCGCCCCCTCCTTCGGCTCCGGGCCTCAGCAGCGCGCGCGTCGTGATGCCGTGGTGGATCTCCGACCGGCGGTCCAGCGCCGGCTGCGATATCTCGAGCCCTTCCCTCTTGACGATGTCGAGGTACCTGAGCGGGTCGAAGGCGTCCACCTCGACGTCCTCGTCCCAGAGGAAGACGTAGTCGTACGCCGCGACGACGTCGGGGTGCAGGAACCTCTTGGCGAACCACCACTTGGTCTGGCCGAGCGCCGAGACGTGCACCGCGCGGCGCGACCACTCGAGGTCGCCCCACTGCTCCTCGCCGGCCCCGTCGTAGTGGAACAGCATCACGGTGAACCGGTCGGCGGGGAACTTGGAGACGAGTTTGTCGACGGCCGCCTTGTTCTTGATACCCACCGGGATCGCGAGGAGGCTCTTGGACGGCCTGCTGCCGCCCTGCTGCTCAGGGTCGCCGACCATGGACACCATCTCGAGGTCGGACGTGGCTTGCACGATGCCCCTCGGCAGAGCCGAGCCGCCCGACGACGGCTTGTCGGATTCTCGTGCTTCCGTTCGGTGGACGGCTACGCGCAACAGTTTGCGGGGCATGGACCTGGAATCCTCGGACAGTTCGCTCGCGCGTGACACCGACGGGTTACAATCCTTGTGATGAAGCTTGAAGCCTGCGCCGGCGACGAATAGCAGCACGAGGAGGAACACGAGCGCCACCGGCAGCGAGAAGCGCTTCTGCGACGCCATGGAGTGCTTGGAACAGATCCACGCGAGGTGAGGCAAGCGATCTACAAGACTATGACGTGTTCGAGCTTGTGCTGAGGCAAGCGATCTATATATGCTGGAGTTGCACGTACATCAAACCGATACTGATCTACAGTCGGCGCTGGAAACATGACACAATCTGTTCAGGAATCGGACAGGCGATGTAAATCTCGGACGTCCGTCGACAATCCGTGTGTCTGTCGCTATAAGCTTCGTGCATGCGATCTGATTATTATTTTTTGGTATCTAAGAACACTTGCCTTATTAATCAAGTAATGTTCACGGGAATACAATGAAGATCTGGTGGGTTTTTAGAAGTCACACATGGAAAACGAAATTAAATAAAAAGAAAAACAACTGAAAATGAAAAAAAAAAGAAAAACCAAAACAAAAAATGACTTATAAAAAAAAGAAAAAAGTCCATTTACTACCCTAAGGCCCCGCTTGGATTGTCATATTTCTAACAGATACACCCGTAAAAAAATACACGCTTCTGCACGTCTGTATCGTTTCCGGCCGAAAATCACTCTAATCGAGTAAGGTACACTTGTAAAATTGATAAACCCGTATTAACTTACGGTCAATCCAAGCGTGGCCTAAACAAAATGGATGGTTCAAACTCACCCCTATGAACGCACACACGCACACCCTAGCCCTATGACTTTAGGGGATTATGTGAACCACCCATTTTATTCAGTGGAGTAAAATGAACTTTTTTCTAATAAAAAGGAGAAAGTAAAAGAAAAAGAGATTGCTGAAAACTGAAGAAATGAAGAAGTTGGAGTGCATGCATGCATACATTTGTTCTTCAATTCAATTTAATTTTAAGAAATCCATGTTAGGCTTTTGACGTGAGGCAGGTTGATACCGGGCCTCACGATGTCCGAGCAGGCCATGCGAAAGCTATTTGTCCTCGGCCTTTTGTTCTATTTGTTAGTCTTCTCGAGACCCCCTATTCGAGGAGTCCTCGTAGGGGCGCTGATATGTCTCGCCTACAGCCAGACAAGAGGAAGTCTCGTTGAAGGCGAGCTCCATATTGGGCCAGCCCATCATGCCAATGGCCACAGGCCATATACTCATTTTTATTCTTTCCTTTTTTACTTGTTTTATTTTTTATTTTTGGTTTTATTTATTTTAATTATTTTTCCGGGTACTCTATATTACAAAAAAATTACATTAAAATTCAAAATATATTAAATGTGCTAGGAAAAATGTTTATCATGTATACGAGACACACACAACGTGAAATGTGTGTAGAAAAATGTTGGCCATTTTATTTAAAAAATGTTAATCCAAGCATTTAAAAAAATGTTGAACAAAGTGTTTGAAAAATGTTAAATTTGTATTTGAAAAATGTTAACTGTGTTTATAAAAAAGGTTGACCATGTATCCACAAAATTTTAAACTTGTATTTGGAAAATGTTAAATCTGTTTAGAAAAAAATTAACCAAGTATTAAAAAAAATTTAAAGTTGTCTTTCAAAAATGATAAATCTGTATAGAACAAATATTGACCATGTATTTGAAGAATGTTAAACTTGTATTTGAAAAATGTTAAATGTGTATAGGAAAATATTGACCATGTATTTTAAAAATGTTAAACTTATCTTTGAAAAATATTAAATGTGTATAGAATAAATATTGACAATGTATACAAAAAATGTTAAACTTGTATTTGAAAAATGTTAAATGTGTATAGAAAAAATCTTGACCATGTATTAAAAAAATGTTAAACTAGTCTTGAATTTTTTAAATGTGTATATAAAAAAATGTTGCCCATCTATTAAAAAAGTGTTAAACTTGTCTTTCAAAAATGTCAAATGTATATAGAAAAAATATTGACCATGTATACAAAAAATGTTAAACTTGTCTTTGAAAATGTTAAATGTGTATAGAAAAAATGTTGATTATGTATTCAAAGAATGTTAAACTTGTCTTTGAAAAGTGTTAAATGTGTATAGAAAAAATGTTGACCATGTATTCAATTTTTTTAAACTTGTCTCTGAAAAATGTTAAATGTGTATAGAAAAAGTTGTTGACCTTGTATACAAAAATGTTAACATTGTATTTGGAAAATGTTAAATGTGTATAAAAAAAGTTTGATCATGTAATAAACAATATTAAACTAGTCTTTGAAAACTTTTAAATGTGTATATAAAAAATGTTGACCATATTAAAAAAAGGTTAAACTTTTATTTGAAAAATGTCAGTAAACCATTTGAAAAAAATTGTTCGATGCGTATAGAAAAAAGTTGACCATGTATTAATTTCTTTAATTTGTTATTTGTAAAATATAATAAAGCATTTGAAAATTGTATAAATGTGTTAAAATGTTAAACATTTATTCAATAAATGTGAATCTTACATTAGAAAAATGTTAAATGTGTATTAGAAAAATGAATTAGATATATATCAAAAGTGTGTATAGAATAACAATGAAACCCAGAGAGAAAACAACCCATAGTCCGTTGAAAAACGAGAAATAAGCAAACAAAACCAGGGGGTAAAGAATAGAAAAAAGCTAGTGAAAACCGAGAAAAAACAAAGACCGAACAAAATATAGAAAAACAAAAAAAGCCAATAGAAAACCGAGAAAGAAACGGAGAAAAGAAAAGGAAATAAAAGAGATAAAGAGACGAAGAAAAACTGCTAAAAATAAAAAAGAAAATAAAAACAAAGAACCCGGAAAACCAATAGAAACCTGCCTTATTTCCTTTCAGTAGTTCGCGCCCTAGTGAGAGAACACGAACTTGCAACCTGACATAGTTTCTCCAATTTTTCTATCTTTAACCTTTAACCATTCTATATATTGGGTCGGCCCAATTTGCTAACTTTTTTATACGTCTCCAACGTATCTATAATTTTCATCATTCTATGCTATAATATTATCCATCTTAGATGTTTTATATGCATTATAATGCTATTTTGTATCCGTTTTTGGGACTAACCTATTAATCTAGTGCCGAGTGCCAGTTGCTGTTTTTTCCTTTACAGAAAATTAATACCTAACGGAGTCCAAATGAAACGAAACTTTTGACAAATTTTCTTGGCCAACAAGACACCCAGGAACCTTCAGGAGGAGGTCAGAGGGGCCACAGAATGGCGACAAGCTCGGAGGGCGCGCCCTAGAGGGGCGCTCCCAGGCTTGTGGGCTCCCTGTGGCACTTCCAACCCTATTTTTTCTTCTATAAATACCCAAGTATTCCCCGAAGACCAAAGGGCACACTAAAAATACTTTTCCACCGTCGCAAGCTTCTATTCTCGTGAGATCTCATCTTGGGGCCTTTTCCGGCACTCTGCCGAAGGGGCATTAGATCACGGAGGGCTTCTACATCAACCTTGGTGCCTTTTTGATGATGTGTGAGTAGTTTACCAAGGACCTATGGGTCCATAGCTGGTAGCTAGATGACTTCTTCTCTCTCCTTGATCTTCAATACAATGTTCTCCACGATGTTCTTGGAGATCTATTCGATTTAATCTTGTTTTGCGGTGCGTTTGTTGGGTTTATGTTCAGATTATCTATGGATATTATTTGAGTCTTCTCTGAACTCTTTTATGCATGATTTATATGAACTTTGTATTTCTCTCCGATCTATTGATTTGGTTTGGCCAACTAGATTGATTTTTCTTGCAATGGGAGAGGTGCTTTGTAATGGGTACAATCTTGCGGTGCTCAATCCAGTGACAAAAGGGGGCATGACACGTATTTTTATTGTTGCCATTGAATATAAAAAGATGGGGTTTATTCATATTGATTGGATCTATCCCTCTACATTATGTCATCTTGCTTAAGGCGTTACTCCGTCCTTGTTAACTTAATATACTAGATGCATGTTGGATAGCGGTCGATGTGTGGAGTAATAGTAGTAGATGCAGGAAGGAGTTGGTCTACTTGTCTCGGACGTGATGCCTATATACATGATCATTCCCTTGGATATCTTCATAATTATTCGCTTTTCTATCAATTGTTCAACAATAATTTGTGTACCCACCGTATGCTTTCTTTCAAGAGAGAAGCCTCTAGTGAAAACTATGGCCCCGGGGTCTATCTTTTATCATATTATTTCCAGGTCTACAAAATAAAAAACACAAAAATACCTTGCTGCAATTTATTTACATCTATTTTGGAGTTTTATCAACAATTTGCTTGTGTAGGTGGGGACCTGGTATTTTCGGAGTCCTTATGCAAGGAATTACAATAGAAATTTTTTCAACAAAAATGTGAATTAGGAAGGATTGGTCGACGAAATATGAATCGGTTTATCTTATTTTACACTTTTACTTATCTTTTATATCTATCACTATCAGATCTCATCATTGCAAGTAACCGTGAAGGGATTGACAACCCCTTTATTGTTGGGGAACGCGGTAATTTCATAAATTTTCCTATGATCACGCAAGATCTATCTAAGTGACGCATAGCAACGAGAGGGGAGAGTGTGTCCACGTACACTCGTAGACCGAAAGCGGAAGCGTTTAGTTAACGCGGTTGATGTAGTCGAACGTCTTCGCAATCCAACCGATCCAAGCACCGAACGTACAGCACCTCCGCGTTCAGCACACGTTCAGCTCGGAGACGTCCCTCGTACTCTTGATCCAGTTGAGGCCGAGGGAGAGTTTCGTCAGCACGATGGCGTGGTGACGGTGATGATGAAGTTACCTGCGCAGGGCTTTGCCTAAGCACTATGACGATATGACCGATGTGTGTAACTGTGGAGGGGGGCACCGCACACGGCTAAAACAGTTGTCAACTTGTATGTCCTAGGGTGCCCCTGCCCCCGTATATAAAGGAGCAAGGGGGAGGCAGGCCGACCCTCTATGGCGCGCCAAGGG